GAGAGATTCATTTTCTTCCATGGCTTTAAAGTGATTATCCAGCCATGTTCTTTTGGGCCCCTGCTAGGTAAGACATCATATAAGGGCTTGTCTCCTGACAGCTAGGCATTCCCCCTGTTTCCTTTCAGAGGGTTCTCCTTCCAAAAATTTCCATCATATATCTGTAGTGCCACAGGCTAATGGTCAAGATTTGAGTATGTTGCGCCTTTAGGGGACATTTAACATCCAAACCATAACATCCCTGTAGCCAAACATACAGTCTTATATTTTTAAAGACAAGCAATGTTCAAGAAAATCCATATATGAAATGGAATAAATTTCAAAAGGCAGCTGCCATTTATTGTTGCATTAAGGTGATGTGTGTTTGAGTCCAGATAAAGCTATAAGGATCCCACCAGTTGACCACAGATCACAAAAGAATAAAAGCTAACTGTGTTTACTACAAGAACAGATAATGACACTCCAAGACACAGCTTCTAAGAAACTGATAAGCTCAAGTAGGAGAACTGAAATACAGAAAGAAAAGCAGTTCCTTCAAAAGTTACTCAAATTACTGGTCTCAGAAGACAGGGGAAAAAGGTGGCATTTGTCCATGATGATTCCCTAAACCCAGGTCTCATGCTTCTGATATCTTGTTACTGCCACCTGACTGTTCAGAGTTATTTCTGAATGCAAGTACTTTGATTCCTCCTTTTCTACAATAAAGACACAACATTTGCTATTAGCCTTTCTTACTCCTGTAATTTTGGGTTAAATTCTTTGTTGATCAATGTCAAAGGGTAATATAGCCTTAATAGTTGTATGCCTATTTCATAGAACTTCTACTGTGGGCAAGTCTAGCTTATTTTTAGGGAAGAACTGAAGGTAGAGTTGGTTGCCATGACAATTGACCAATTGGGTGTCTATCTTTTCTGTGTGGTTAGAACATCACATGCAAAGTAGTGAAAAAATGAAACCACTGGACTGACATGTTAAAATAACTTTCTGTTCTACTGTTCCATTCTGATTATGACAGTATGAAGAATGAATATGGATACTTAAATCTAAAATTCATCTATTCTTTTAAATACTTTCATCATTTACTATTTGTGCTAATACCTAAATGGTAAATAATAATAGCAACAGAAAACTATGCCTTCTTTTTAATCATTGTTGCAATTCACTAACATCACATTTGTTCTAGTCTTGGAGACAACTTTTCATATTGTAAATACTGGAACCCAAGTTGGCCAGGTACATTTTATATAGTTCAGGACAGCTGGAACTTGAGGAATCCTTTGTCAGCCTCCTAAGAGCTAGGATTACCACACCCGGATAAAATGACTCATTAATTATCTATCTATAACAAAGAATTTAACTTTCTTTGTCTTACTTACCATAAAGAAACATTTTCAGGGATTTGAATCTTAAGCAGTATTAATGGTATATGATTCTAAGAATCTCCAATTATTTCATGGACTGTTTCAATAAATTGAGAATTGTTAGTGTTAGTCCCCCGCCCCCCTCACCTCCACCTCCAAGTCCCCAGTATTTAAAGCGGCACCATTCTTTGTTTGCTAAAGACCACTGCTTTTTGAGGGCCAGGAGACGCTGCTGCTTTGCAAAGGTAGAAGCTCTTAGGAAATGCTTTTCAAGTAGCCAGATATTTGTAACTAAGAATTGTTGTATAAGTAGTGGGCTTCAAAAAGCCTGCTCATGCACCAGGGATGGACTCTGATCCTACTGCCCGGTGGGCCCCTTAAGCAGACCAAGCTACAGAACTGTCTTGCTATGTAGAAAGTCCAGTCCTGTCCCATGCAGTCTCCACAGCTGTTGATCTAAACTTCATGAGTTCCCACTAGTCTGGTTTGGTTGTCTCTGTAGGTCTCCCCATCATGATCTTGATGTCCTTACTCATAGAATCCCTCTTCTCTCCCCTCGACTGGACTCCTAGAGCTTGGCCTGGTTGGCTGTGGATCTCTGCATCTGCCTCCATCAGTCACTGGAGGAAAGCTCTGTGATAAGTTGTATTTACCAATCTGATCACTGAGGTAAGCCAGTTCAGGCCCTCTCTCCACTATTGCCAGTAGTCTAAGCTGGGGTCATCCTGGAGATTCCTGGGAATCTTCCTAGCACCCAGCCTCTCCCTATCCTCATGATGTCTCCCTCCACCATGGTATCTCTCCCATTGCTCTCCTACTCCATCCCTGTTCTAGCTCAACCATCCAGTTCCCTTATATTCACACCCCCTACCCCCTACCTTCCATTGTCCACCCCTCATCCCAGTTTACTCAAAGACCTCGCATAGCCTTGAGGCAGGGGGAGGTGCTTGGACTTGTCTCTTCTAAATGTAACTCCCCATGGGAGGTCTTATCTCCTTGTAGGGGGGAATAGAGGATGGGATAGGAAGGGGGGCTGGAGGGACAGGAAGAGGGAAGAGAGGGATCTTTGATTGGTATGTAAAACGAATAAAAAATTCTTAATTAAAAAAAGAAAAAATTGTTCAGGAAATGAGCAATTAAATAGAAAAAAAAGAATTGTTGCTTAAGATAGAAATTCTCAGGGCAGATGTGAGCATGCGTGTGTGCTTGTTGTAATGAATCTTAGGTATGGCATGCAAATTATGAGTTCTAGACTACATCAGTCAACAATGATCCTTAATATTTGTTTTGCAGTTTTTAATGTATATTCATGTGAAATCATTTGGTCATTTAAAGAGTACATGAAATGGAAAAAATGGGCATTATCATATTTGTCCAATACTTGATAAAATAAAGCTTGGGGAGGTCCCTTACCCAGCATTTTAGGACTAATAAAGACCAGTAGCCAAGTTTAGTTGGATTTCATCATTTGTCTGGGAAATCTGACTTCAAGTGCTTTCCCCAGTAAATACAGATACTGGGTTATATCGTTTTTACTAGGAAAATTCTTAGACCTAAGGCTTTTGCTGCAGAATCTAGCACTCATTCTAAACATGGTTCACACACACACACACTGATGCCAGTACTATACACAGCCAGTCTTTCCATAAATAGAGGGATGAAGACACAGGTAGATAATGTCTCCAAGATGACCCAGCTCTGTGCAAGATGCTGCTCACATCTTATTTCTCTCTAATGGTACTCACAACCACAAAGAGGGGCAAGGTCAACAAAGGAAATAGGGAATTACTGGTTGGAACATCTCCTAAGAACAAGCTTACTAAGTCAAAACAAAATCTTTTCCTGGGATATCAAATATAGTTTCTCATTTGCTAAAGTAAGGAGTACAGACAAATTTACCTAAATTCCATGTTTGCCTGCTTGTAGGGACTGAAAGAGTCTATTCTGTGCAATGGGAAAACCAATGTTCAAGGCTGGTGTCAGGTTTGTCTTTGGAATCCACCATCTCCAATGGAACAACGTCACAAAACCCACTTCACCTCTTTCCCACTCTCCTGTGGTGTGAAATGGCCCATAGTTAGCATTCAAGACATATCAATTACTATGCGGAGTTTTGCATGAGAGCTACAAAGACTGGCTTTACTATGTTTAGATCATAATAACAGTTAACTACTCTGATAGTTAATCTCTAGTGGTTTGAAGGATACCTATGGGTCAGTATGGACATTATTCTATCAGGAAGCTAATCCCAGAGTACTATGGAAATGTTTGCTATTATGAGCAAGGTGTGGATTGCAAACTGCTATACAATCACTTACACAGTGAAAAGACTTAGTCATTGAATTTACAAGCTTATATTTATTTGTAAGCTATAAGCATGCATATATGTGTTATTTGTACCTCTTATTCAAGTACATATAAGTTAATACTTACTAACTGAGGTGATATATTTGAAGATGATTTTAAGACACTATGCACTTCATTGATTAAGAATCATAGGCTGGGCAGTGGTGGTGCACGCCTTTGATCCCAGCACATGGGCGGCAGAGCCAGGTGGATCTCCGTGAGTTCAAGGCCAGCCTGGTCTACAGAGTGAGCTCCAGGACACACACCAAAACTATACAGAGAAACCCTGTCTCGAAAAACCAAAAAAAAAAAAAAAAAAAAAAAAAGTATAATGTTTGTTCTCAACAGACACAACTTACTTGTTTCAGTGAGCTGCTAATTTTCCTGTATTTAGGCACAATAATAAATAGTCTATGAGATTTTTTTTTCTTTTTGTGTGTTTCTCTAATTAGGAATATTCCAGAAAAGTCAAGGACTATTTTATTGTGACATTCCTAGAACAAATCATTCAGAACTTATAAATAGACTTAATATCTTTCCATTATTCAAACTCTTTTCAGCCTCCTTTATTTATAGCCACAATCAATCAAATGAACAAACAAAAACAGCAACAACAACAACAACAAGAAAACTCACTGTGATCTGCTGGGTTACAAATTAATGGCCTTTCCTGGTCTGCTTATATTTCCAGGGGCTGCTATTAAATGTAAGATGAAAATCACTCCATCCAATAAGTAAACTTACTGTTTGTGTACTACAGATCATAGCTCCTTATCAGGACTAATAATGCAGTTTTACTTTTTACAGGAAATGGAAACTCAAACCTCGACAAATGGATGCCAGCATTCCGAATGGCTCTCAAATGGGCAGTGCTGAAAATTGATCTGGTACTTTGTCAATTGCATCGTTCAGAGATGACATCAGCAGCAAGTCTGCAGCCAGTGCTGGCATGTCGCCCTTCCTGTACCATAACTAAAATCACACTCTGCAAAAACATAATCAGGTCCAGGTCTGCAACTTGAACCTTGAAACCTCATTAAGCAACTTTTTACCAACTTCATCAATAAGGCCTGGCCCAGGTTCCATACACACACACACAGCAACCAATGCTGATAAAACATGTTCTAGAAGATTGAGACAGTCCTTGTGATATTTATTTCTGATTTTGTTTATGATCCTTTTTAGCTAACTGGAAATCCTAAGCTGGAATTTGTCATCAATGCCATGCTCTTTGGTCCTCCTTAGACAGTCCTGTTCCACCTCACCAATAGGAAAGACATCATGGCTCTTTACCTGGGGGATTATGCTCATTGAGAATCACAAGGGATGCTGGCGTGGGTCTTCTTTTCCTGATCTGTGAACAGCAAAGGCACAGCTGATGTCAGTGTGAGAATCAGACACTGCCCTTCATTGATTCTACAGCTCGAAAAGCTGTCCACCCTCCTCTTTCCCCAACATATATGAACAAACTTCTAGAAGGAACATAGTGTATGCTCACTATATATTTTAGAACACAGGAAGCTAGCTAGAACTGCCAGATACTACTAACACTTTTTTTTTTTTACCACAAAGTTACATTTCCAAAGGAAAAAAAATAAAGTTGTATACCATTAAAATATGCAACTAAGAATAATACACTGTAAAGTACAGGGATGACTTACTATTTAAGTGACTGGTAAAGCCCCATGACATTGGCAATGATATCATGGTCCCTTGCCCTCATCTAAATGAGGCAAAAGGAACCCAGAAGCTTCACATTTTTACTATGTACTGTAATTAAATTGGCAATGTACATTTTAAATTTCAATTAGCATGATTAACTTTATACTTTCTAATTTAATATTTAGACCAAACTGGCAGGTCAACCAAAAATACAAATCTTACAAGAATGTGAATTTTAATTCCTCCAGGCAGTACTAATTGGACTCAGTGGGTTAGAAAAAATAAAAGGGAGAGACCATGAAAGCAAGAGGGCATGTTAGTGGGTGTCAATGAAATGGGAGGGGAGAGTTGGGGCAGATATGATTAAGATACATTATATATGTGTGTGTGAAATTGTATATAAATAAGTAAAAGTTACTCAAAAAGGTAGAAGAATAAAAATGAATGTATGCTTAATTGAAACTAAGATTTGCTGGATTCATCCCCTTGTCATGGGAATTATAGAAGCATATTATGACTAGACTCTCTTGTTTCAGGTAGCCTTTATTAATTCAATGTATCAGTTCATAGCTAAATTCCCAGAATACTTGTCAATAGGATAAAGGATAAAATGTATAAATGATGTTGTTCAAAATGGAAGCAATACTCAGTTCAGTAAACAGATCTGGTCAAAGTTATATTTATCTGGTCCAAATCTGGGTGGGTCTACTGTCAAAGCATCATCATATAAAACAAGACTCCCAGAGACAATACTTATTTTAAGACTTTGTATCAACTATTTGGAAGAGGATTCAGGGGTACTCTGGGTTTTAAGTAATTAATGAATTAGATTGGAGTTCCCATAACTTTCTTTGCTATTCCCAAAGTACTCCATATTTGTTTTTACACCACAGAACATCTTTTATGTGGGTCCATTGCACCCAGAGTCTAAGTAAATATGAACATTATACATTTAGAAACCAATATCACACATAGAAAAGGAACCTAGGAAAAAGTAATATAGTATTTTTCATATTCATTGCTCATATATAATGCAGAGCTATTGTTCGGTGATACACAATGAAAACACATAAAAATATGAAGTCTGTAATACTAACTTCGTCTGGGATTTGCTACTTTAATATTTACATTTCTTTTTATTTTATAAATAACAAAATAGAAGATTGCTAATTTTTGATAATGTTTTCGAAGTTTCTCTAAACGTTAAAACTGTTACTTTAAGAATCAAAAGCCAGCACATAGTGCTTCAGACCAGAACGTCTGATACATTGGTGTTAATTTTATATAGAATGTAGTGCTGCTAAAATCTTGGCCAGTTGCTCCCCAATGCAACCCAAATGCAAATGGGTCTACAAAAGCAGACTCACTTCTCATCCAGAAATTCACACAATTGAGCAAATTCAGAAAGCAGAGAACCTTTCACCAAGCAAGAATGCATGCCCTTACTGCCCGATATCCAGGCATTGTTCCCCATTCACTCCCCCTTACCTGCTCTGCTGCCTCTGGAGCAATCTGACTCTGGAATAAAGGCACAGCAAATTGTATCTTTTTGGGGCTGTTGGGCTCCATGGTAATGATGAGAATAAGACAGAGAGGTGAAGCACTCAAAAAGGCAAACCCCAAGTGGGAACCGGAGTGCTCCTGAGGCACCCTTCACCAAGCCACACGCAGTGTTTTGTAATAAATCTCTGTAATTCCAGCCTGAACAAGTGAAGATATCGAGGTTTGAGCAACTCCCTTCTTCACTATCCAGTGATGCCTGGCTTGCCTGATCCCCCACCAATCCTTTGGATCCTCTCAACACAATTGGGAATGGAAGAATAAGCTAATTGTGTCCCTACTCACTAATACACATGCCAAGCTTTCACTCAGCAGCTAATTGAAATTGCAATGCTAACCTTGAAGGACCCGCTGCCCTGGGATTTAAAAGAAAGGCTCTATCCACTGTACATTACTAACCGGCTGCTCGAAAGTGCAGCATAAGCTCCCTCTGAGCATTACAGGGATGGGTCATTCATTATTGATGAACATAAAGCAGGAAGTTTTTAGAGCTGGGGGCAGGGCCTGACTATAGAATCATGTCATTTCTTTGTAGCAACTTACAAGTCAGACACCTTTGCTGTTTCACACTCAACCACCACATCGATGAACGGCTATCAACAATAAGCCGCAACCAATAATATCAGCTATATTTGTGCCATCAAGATCTGGTTAGGTCATTACTGCCCTAGGGCTGAGCAGATCTTAGTTCAAGTTCCACTCTTAATAAGCTGTGTGGCCCCAAGCAAATCACAGCATATGTCTAGGCCCCCACACTGGAAAAAAAGGGGAAGTTTGATTAGATGACCTTTAAGCTCCCATTCTGTTCTAACATTCCATAATTATAGTTCTTGGTTTTTAACTTGAGTAGAAAGTATTGAACAGCTAAATTTAGCACCCAGCTTGGATGTCACTGCTGTTTCTATGGCTTTTATTTTGTTCCTGATGGGGCCAGTTACATCCTCTGACTTGGAAGAATTCAGAAATGAGTGGAAAATGTCAGTGGCGACCCAGCAGTGACTGATAGCGTGGCTTGTTGCCAATGATGCGGTTTTGTGCAAAGATGAAGACTTGAGGAAAAGCCTAAAAAGGATCATCTTCAGAAAGCCGATGAGTCGGGTGGCTGTGGTCACAGCAGAAGCCGACGAGATCATCTCAAGTAATATCAAACAGTGGACGGCCATATCACCAGATGGCTTTCACAGAATTCACTGCTTATTGAAAGCAGCCTGGAAATGAGCCTGCCTCAATAAAAAAGAGAACTTCAGTTCTTTACTTTTCCATTTGAACGGTGTGATTTGATGACTACTGGATTTTAGAATGTTTTTAGATTCATTAAACACATTTTGATATTGTCTAAAATTGTAGGTATTCACAAATGAAGCTCCCTTTATTTTGAAGGTCTGTTTCTATAACAGAAATACATATCGATGATTTAATCATACAATGTTCTGGAAAGTATATAGAAAGTAATATCTATTATTCAAGTAGTTTCCTATATACGCTAGAGGAAAAGCAAATGAGATACTGACGGGAAAGTAATTTTAGGTGAGAAAAAATGCTGATGGCAGGAAATCTTGTCAAGGATTCTTCTCTGAAGAGAGGAAAGCAAACTTACCACTCAAAAGATTCTATGGTAGACATTACAGAAGCCCCTAAACCTTCATAGAGCAAGACCATTACTGATGATATTCCTCTGAATAGTGGTCAAAATACTATGGAAAAGTAGACAGGCTTTTTAGTGTGAAATTAATCCAGAATCTGCTCAGCAGTCATCAAGAACTTGTACTTGGTAGGCCCAAACTTGCACCCTCACTCTGCTACTCACCAAGATGAACAACTCAGGCCATGAGAGAACTTTTTTTTTTTTTTTTTTTCCTATGAGGTTTAGATGAGTGAACTCCTAAAAGGAGCTGCTCACAACATCAGCCTCTAGCCACTCTGTAGCAGATAGCAATTATACCTTTTCTAGATTTTTCAAAGAGCTTAATGACACATTTATAGCAAGACTTACTAAGAATCTCCACCTATTAGAAAATTTAATGTCAATAAGAAGAAGAGACAATAAAGTGAAATTCTTTGAGTATATTATAGGATGAAGACCAGAAAGTGTGTATGCATGTTCATATGTATATGAGCAGACAGTGTGTGTGTGTGTGTGTGTGTGTGTGTGTGTGTGTGTCTGTGTGTGAGTCTAAATGTGTATGCATATGCATGTGAGATACAGGATGGCATTGGGTGTCTTCCTAGATCATGATCCTCTTTATATATTGAGATAGTCTCCCACTTGAGCCTGAAGCAGGATGATTAGACTAGTCTAACTAGTCAGCCTGTTCCAGGGATTCCCATCTTTGCATTCCACACTCAGCACAGGCCCACACCTCACTCAAAGACATTTATATAGGTGATAGGGATCTGAACTCTGGTCCTCAGGATTGCTCAGTAAGTGCTGTACCTGATGAGGCATCTCCTTGGGTTTAATGCCGTCTTTTTAATAGTTTGACCAGAGATAGAACCTAAAGAAACTTCCTGGGCCTTTTAAGATTGCTGTCTTTCATCAGTGCGACCGGCTTCTATGTACTTACCAGGACTCAGCTGAGTGGTCTTGCTTTTAGGAAAATGTTATGGATTTGTTTCTACCCAAACAGGGGTTGCTGGGGCATGGGAAAAGGAGTCAAACAATCTCTTCTGTCAACATAGAACATTCAGTATACCTCCACTTAGCACAATAGCTACCTGTCTCTGTCTTAATTATTTAATATTTTGAAAACCTATTCACACAGCAATTCAACACACTTACTGCCAGGCTTTTTGCTAAGGCATTAGAGGAGAGATTGTGCTGAAAGGTCTTATTTGAAACCCTTTTAAAGCTAAATTGTTAGGCCTGGGGACATGCCAAAGCAGGTATGAGAACTTAGAACTGGGTTTCTGGCACCAATATGGTGGCTTATAACAATCTGTAACTGCAGTTCTAGAAGATCTGATGCCCTCTTCTAGCCTCTGAGAATATTGCAAGCATGTGGTGCACAGATACACATATAGGCAAAACACCCATACATATAAAGTACAAATAAAGTTTTCAAGATAAATTGTTAGTCTAAGAATCGTATAATGTAACTAAATTTAAAGTGATTGAAAAAAGTTCAATATGACTTTTTGTTTTGTTTTGTTTTGTTTTGAGACAGAGTTTCTCTGTGTAGCTTTGTGTCTTTCCTGCAAACTTGCTTTGGAGACCAGGCTGGCCTCGAACTCACAGAGATCTGCCTGCCTCTGCCTCCTGAGTGCTGAGATTAAAGGCGTGTGCCACCACCGCCTAGCTTAATATGACATTTATCCAACACTGAAGTATATGCACAAACCAGAGCCTATGATTGTATGAAATGGTTAGGTATATATTTATTTTCATTAGAGATAATAATAACACTAATAATGTCTACCCTTGTATGGTAAGCACTTTATCCATGTATTATGCCTGTATTAATACTGATAATGGCCACTTGCTGTTTGCCCTATTGCTATCTATGCCTCTCACTTCAAATGAGAACATTGAGAAACAAAGAGTTCTTCCTGCTAATGAATGGCAGAAACATAGATATATTTCAAATGCAGGCACTGGATTTTTAGCACAAAGCGATTCTAATGCAAAGGCCTTTGGAACAGTTGGGAGAAGCCACCAGAACCTCTACAGCCACCTTGTATTCTAAAACATAAACACCATGGCCCGTGAGCTAATAGAAGGAGGTGATTGCAGGATATTGATCATCATGGAGATCATCTAGAGAGTTGGACATTGTACTTTAAGCTGACTTGGAGGCAAATTTTATTCTTTCTCTTTTAAAATAAAGACAGATTCTATGAATAGAGACATGAGAAAAGGTTTAACATAATAAAGATAAACCTTCAGTGACTGTTCCAAGTAAGTATTACTGTGAGGAATAGATGAGAAATAGAAAATGAAACATGGGTCTTACTTGTTTTACTCCATGCTGTTGTCCTACCCTGCTTTCCACAGTTCCTCTACTGGCTACATCACTGGTCCTTATGTGCCCTCTCCTCTTGTCTCTAGAAGACTTCCTATCCTACCTGCTTTATTTGTACCAAATTATATTCATCTTCCAATCCTACATACTCTGAAGGGGATCTTCAGAATCATACAATGAAAGGAATTTTTCAATTTACTTTCTCCCCGAGAATCTAATTGTGTGTGTTTTATGTCCAATTTACATTACTGTATGCTTTTCTCCTCATATTATAAATCCTACACTTAAACACAAACACAATCAAGGTCTTGGGTTTCCTCATTATGTAAGATCAGTTGGGCTCTACCTTTATTATGATGTAGGTAAATATAAAAAATTTCAATAAAATCAATTCTCCCAAAGACTTCAGTCCATCTTTTAAGTACAATGTTTTATAATTTTTATATTTAGTGAGCACTTAAATATATTTAAAATTTCATGGCTTTCCAAAGAGAGAGCACAAACTTACCCTTTGTTACTACTTTATAGCCATACATGTTAGCACTGATGTACCATCGTATACACAGTTGACCCTGAAGCTGTTATTATTTCTTGCTACCCTGACTGCCCTCCAATCATTACAGATACATAGTCACTAAGGGCAGCTATTTGAAGACTGTCACCTGATATATGGTGCTTTGTTTGTAGAAAGAAGGAAAAGGAAGAAATTGGAGAGGAGGAAAAAGTGGAAGAGAGGGAGAAGAAAAGATGCCTATTCCATTCTTTAAAATTTTTCCTTATAATTTCTATTTTTAAAAATAATTTCCTCTATTCTTGAGAATTTCACATATGTACATAATGAAAGATGATCAAATACACCCCATTGCTTCCCTCCAACTTTCCCCATAACACCCTAACACATTACCCACCCCCCAAATTCATGTCTTCACCTTCCTTATATGTGCAATATACTTTATAGGAACTACAATAATAATTGGAAACCACCAAAGGGGGAATTATGTTGTCTGTAGGTCCTTATATTTTTAGATAAATGACTTATTTTTTCTCATAATTTCAGAGGGTTTTTAATCCATTGTGGCCAGGAAGACAGCAATATAGTTTAGTTTATGATGGCTGCAGGTGCTTAAGGCAGAAGCTTTTCACATCATGGTAGACCAGGAATCAGAGAACAGACAGGAAATGGATAGGAATAATATATCCACAGGATCTGTCCCAGTGGCATGATTTCTCTTCTTGGGTCTCAGCTCCTAAGACTGCAGAACCTCTCAACATAGCACCATCAGCTAGAAGACAAAGGATTCAAAACAAGAGTATGTAGGTGTGGAGAACATTTCATATTCAAACTATAACATTCCACTGCTAGTCCCCAATTGTTCGTGGATAACTTATATCGTGAAATACATTTAGTCTGACTTGAAGAG